AAAAGAACTGTTTTAGTTGCTTCTGATTTGAGNTTTAAANGTTTATTCATTTCACCTACGTTCCATTTGTTTCGTGTTTAATCNCGAAAAGTGCTGCTTATGGCACACTATAATTTACATAATTAAAGAATTTATGAGCAGCTCCAAGGACTCGACAGCGAATATGCAACGTAAAGTAAAACGTGCAGCTGCAGTGGAAGCTTCTAAGGTTATCTACTGTTATCGCATTGTTACTTAGTTACTTGATGAAGCTATTTCGAATTATTTGCTTAGAAAAGCTATTTCAACTGATTGCTGTAAAAGTCAAGATTTATTCGGAATCGTGCTGACAAATCGTGATGCTTCACGGTTAATGAGCTTATTCTGTCGTCTAGCTAAAAAGAGAACCCATTTCTTATTCATATCAGTGAGTCGTAAGTTATTTCAGACTGCTAGAAATTTTTGTTCCAGGTACATGAGCAGACTCATCCAGTTATAACGGATGCTTTATATCACTGTCCTCCACCACCTAAACCTCCATTTGCTATGGGAAAAGGTCGGCGCGGGCCAGTTACGCCTCCAAGTCCTAATGAAAGTCGTTTGTTGGCAAATAATGATGTGAGTTCTTCGTTTTTTCTCAACTAACATGAAATGCTCCAGAATACACCAGACAAATATCTCTGGTGTGGCGGTTCTGCAACTAGGCAATTTACGATGTGTTTTTTTAATAATCATTTCAAGTACCATGTTGTATTTAGACATCAAACCAACTAAATACCGGTGGAGATGGACACCTTGCAGCAAATTCTGGTCGTAGTCTTCTAAGCGGATTGGCAAATATTTCAGCAAGTCATCAAATTTCCGCTGATCGGTTAGTGTGTTATTTCTTATATTGATTGTCACAATCAAGAGATGTAATGCAGCAGGAAGAGTAATGCATAGTGGAAAATTTTTTAGGACGATAAGGCGCGGCCCACATACTCCACCATATCCTCCGAAGTCACCCGATTCTCGATCACCATCACCAGTAATCACTGAAAAGCCAGTAAGTGTAAAATCGGTCGCCAAGTCAACAGCACCGAGGGATCGAAGTCCAGTAATTGTCCTACCTACAGTTAATTTGTGTAAACCGAATTATTCCGGTAATACAAGTCTTGGAGGATACCCTGGTCCGTTTTCTTTCATGTTACTTTGTTCTTTTACATAATCATCATGTGCCATATCATGAATTTCCCTTTTATCACTTTGCAATTACTAGTTAAACTGATGTAAAAATTTTGTCGAAGCACGTCATAGAATCATCTGTGAACATGATACAAAATACATTCTATTCTAGTTAGTCAAATCCATTTGTTTGACAGTCACTGAATGCACATATTCTAGGCAGCAGTGGTATACCACAAATGCCTTGTTTCGGTTCCTTACCGGGTTTACATGTGCAGCCATTTCTGATGATGCAGCCGCCCTCAACATCCGCCACTCTGCCTCCGTACATGAATACACAGACGAACAACCATACAACTGGAATTTTTCAAACCTCTGGTTGGTCAGCAGATGCTGGCTTTGGAGTTTGTCCTCCCTTCAGTTACGCTTCATCAGTTCCGAAGTAAGTTTTCTTTTGATATTACAGTGGCATCAGATCGACTCACTGATGACCCGACGAACTTTCCGTTTTTTTTTTTTTTGACATCCATTTACATAAAAGACCTTGTCAACTGTTACCTAATGAACAGTGGCATAGTTCGGGACGTTGAGCCATATTTCAAATGTTTATTCGCTGCGGTATTCATTCTTGAGCTATCGGAACGATTTTTTAGTGCAACTACTGTCAGCATATTAAACAAAAAAGTTACCGCAAGAAGTTTCACATTGGTAACTAAATAACTCACTCGTAGTACTTGTCGTTTATTACAAGATTTTTAAAGATTGTCAACGAATTTTTTATTAAGCCGTTACTTAGGCTCCTAAACTTATTGTGGACATGAGATTTTTCTTTTTGTTTTTTTTTTTTTTCATACAGGATTTCAATCAAAAGTTTTTTTAGCGAACGTGTACTCGGTCCTGAAGTACTTGCCGTTCCTCCACCACCGCCGCCACCTCCACCACCAAATGATATGCGACTAGTGTCACAGTCGAGTTTTTGCGTAAAGAACAGCAACGCGTGTTTTGTTAAAAGCGATCCAAAACCAGGTACATATGATGAAACACTAACATTGATTGAATTGTATGGAAATTACCGCTGTTTTGAATTAAATAAGATTTTGGATTCAATTAAAACGAAGTGAGTATTAACTGAAATCAAACTTTCAAACTATATCTCTCATAAGGTTTTATATGAGCACTGCTTTAATTATTGCATCTATTTCAGAGACTGCTACTGTTATCAAGCCGAAGGGTATACCAATGGCTTTGGATCCGATACTGCTTGATCTCGCTGACCTGTCTCCGAAACCACGAGTTTCTAAGTCAACAAAGCCTTCGCGCTTTCAAAGTGAAAAAAAGAAATTATCCATGAGCAGAGACTCAGTTGTTAAAGAGAGTCGCGGTGCCCCGGACATAAAAAGTAGTGGACAGAAGTGTGGTTTAAAGCTAGGTGGGACTGGAAAAAAGGAAAGTGGTAAAAAGACAAAAGAAGGGGTCAACATGGTTAAAGTTCCAAAACCGTCCGAAAAAATTCAACGTAAAGAATTGGATGGTGTAAGAAATAAGAATCCGAAACCAGTTGCTGATGGTCCACACAAAACCATTCGGGTAACTAATAACTCTCTTGAATCGACGAGAACTGATGGAAAAGTAAGTAAGAACGCATTGGGCAGTGCTTTTCCAGTTGGTGGCACTGATTCGTTAGCAAAAGTTGTGGCTGATGGAAAAATAATGAAAGCAGATAAAAGTAAGACGGATGTTACTATTATCAAAACTGGTGAAATCCAACGATCTGAAGTGAATTTGGAAATTAAGCAGGTAGCAGACAGTGATATACTTGAGAAACAATTGAGTGTCTCTAATTTGGAGGATGGTATGTTTTTCTTTTTCTCGGGAATTTTCGATAACGTTTTACTTTTATTGTACATAATTTTGAATTTGAAACCGATATCCATACTTTTTATGGCGAAACCAGATCATACGCACCGCAACATAGTTCTTGATTTAGATAATTAACACATAAACTATTATTAGTAAGTATTATTTGCAAGAATTTCAGAAGAAAAACCGCATCGAGAAACTGAAGATGTTCGAGGGGTTGAAGAGATGGTTGTGAAAAGGATTCTCTTTGTTCCAGAGGATGATTTGAATGAAGATGAATTGGTGTCATCTACTGATTCTGAAAGAAACCTTACTCCGGATAATGTTTCATTTTCATTAATGTTATTGCAGCCCTATCATTTTTGAATCAGGATAGTTATTTCAATTTAGAAGTAACAAAATTTGTTATAAATTTCATTTAGACTCGGTTTTTCGGAGTCTCTGGGATCTCATCAAATGAAAATCATGAAGATGGAGTTGTTGAACTTGGACCACCAGCTTCTCCAATGCCTGGAGTGTGGTTAGTTTATTAATATTTTGTTTTATGTAATCTCATTATTTGTTGTATTCACTATTTATACGTCTTTTTTCAAAAGATTCATTTTCAGTGCGCTAATGACATGAATTGGATTATTTTACTGTCGAGCTTATATCATATTTTTTTTTTTGTCTTGGAGTTATATATTCTCAGAGTAGTGAACTTTTGTTAATTCTTAAGAAAGCTTACGATGAGGAGAGTAAAAGAGAAATCAGTTTCTTTTTCTTTTTTTTTTATAATACATGATCTTTGAAAAGAAGATTTAGAATAACACAGTTGTGAGCCCGGTATGTTTTCTTGTGCTTCAAAATCAGTCAAAATATTTGAAGTGATTTGGTTATATGACTTCGAAAGATGGTCGACATCAATTACTTATAAATTACTTATAAAGAGTGGAGTAGTTTCATGTCTAAATATCATCTAATAAGTGAACTTGGTATACATAATATGGCTTTATACTCCATAATATAGTTGTAATGCTCCACAAATATACCAATTTATGTTTTCGATTTACTTATATCCAATTTTACTTCTTCTATATTTCTAGTTGGGTGCCTGCCCAGCTCTACCTTTGCTAATAATAGCTTTCATGGAATAACAATTGAAATTTACAGAGATTTGGTCTTCGAATTTGTATTTTGAGCTTAGAAATAATTTCTTCGCAGCTGTTTCAGTGAACGTGAACATTCATCTCCATCAACAAGTGGTTTCACTGATTCTACACCATGTGGTTTATTCAAGCAGGCAACCGCGATAGATGTTGCAGGTTGTTCGAAAACACTGTATGGCAATAAAAGTGTATTACGACATAAAAAGACTCATGATCAGCTGCCTAAGATTTCTGAGAAGGTCCTTTTTTCGAGATGTCTCTTTTATGATACATTTTTGATTACGTGGTGTTTTATTAATACTAATTTTTTTTCTTTGAATAAAAATCTTATTCTGTGAAACTGGAAATGTACTTCAGTTTCGAAAGTATATTCATGTCGTGACGCATCCAAATGGTGGCGCTTCGATGCTTAAGGCAGATTGGTCGAAAATTAAGGACCATTTCAGCGGTTCCGAACTGGATGAGTTTACCATGGAGTTTGTGACATTCGGTTTGGCTGAAGTTAACAGCACACCTGTCTTTGTAATCGCTGTTATTGAAAACGCTGCCGAATACCTTCAGGCAGGAATTATATTTAAAAATTTCAATAGTATCTTCGTGAAGTGTTTTTTGTAATTTTATTAAGGAAACGAAGAATTGCGAGATTACGCGAAAAAAAAGTGAAATTACGCCTGTGGGAACTCAAATTAAGTTTTTTCGGCTTGTTTTGATCTTTGATTTCTTCGCAGAGTAAGGAACTTGATGTCGATTACAGAATGGTTTGGAATATTTTGCCAAGAAATTTCCCCATATGCCGGTAAAGATTGGATCACTTACCAGTAAGCAGTGTGTTAGTACAACGACTGTTTCGGAATATTATAGTCATGTTATGGAGACTTGTCATCATGGAACTTTTAGGTGAGTTAATGAGAATTTGCGACCGGATAATTGTTTTTGAAATGTCTATGGAACCATCCGGAAGTTTTCGTGATGTTTAGTGAGAAATTTGTAGGAAAGACCCCATCAATCGTTACATCACGGTACGAGAAAAACAACTGTTGAGTATAGTCGAAGCGCTACTGGGCGTATGTTCCAGAAGCTTTAAACATTTTGGAGAAACAAAATGCCATGTAATTAGCAGTTAAATACAGATGAAACAAACCACTACCAAATTGACTGCGAGTCGTGTTTCCAAACTATTCCAGAACTACGAAATGTGGTGAGGATAGACTGTCTGGATTAGCTGTTTGTCGTTTTGCTGAACTGTTATATCATTTTAATCATGTCATCATAGTATAGTTTGACTTGAAATTCCCATTTAGATATGGTCCATTGCATTCGCTGAGTCTGGTGGGAACGAGACAGGAAGAATGTGGCAATTATTTCAAAGTTTGCTTTACATCGTATTGTACTGATTTTCTGGTTATTCATTTCTCCGATACTTTTTGTGGCTTTAATTTGGATCATGTATATTTTCAAGGAACTGATTGAGTGGTTGGAAATGTTCCCAATGCTTAAGCTCCTAATGCCTTGGGGTGAATGGTCTGGAGCAGATCTCGAAAGTCCTTCTGATAGTGATGATGGACCCATTTTTTGGGTGCGTCCAGGCGAACAGGTATTTTTCACCAATTATACATGGTAAAAAAAAATCTGTTAAATTAGTGTAGTTTTTTATGTGGTCCTGTGAACTTTATGAAATATTCTTTCACTTCTTTATTGACTGTGTTTCCTGTTTTCTTACTGCTGTTGTAGATGATAAGGACTGATGAGATGAAGGAAGATTTGTCGTCCAGAACTCGAAAGCGAAGCACATCAGTTCGACCGCATGTACCTTCCTACAGGTTCAAAACATTCTTGAATCCTTATCCTTTAATACAACTGCCATTCTTATCAAATGTTTATTGTTGTTAACTTTTTACTAAAAACTAAATTTTTTAGGTGCCGAGAGCCACGTGAGTTCTTTTTCGAAGATCGGACACCGTGTCATGCAGATCATGTAGGTGATGGATTGGAAAGGCGTACAACGGCTGCAGTTGGTGTGCTTCAGTCAATCTATGGACCAACGGAAAAGAAGAAGTAAGGGGATAGCAAATTTTTTTTTCATTTGTGGAAAACGTTTATAAAATTTCGAATTACCCTACAAAATTTCACTAAATCAACTGGAAATCGACCGTGCAAGACACTTGATATTGTACAGATTTGCATTTTGTAGGAGTAAAATAGGAAGAAGGGCGGTGAAAGATGTCGTCTGTTTCCATGCGAGTGACTTTGAAAGAATTGTTGATGAGTTACAGTTGGACCTTTATGAACCTCCGATGTCACAAGTATAATCACATTTCCTAAATTTCTTTCGCAAGAATTTGAAGTTTGTTGTTCTCTGTCTCTAATAACATCTTGCTATTTTTAAATCTGCAGTTTGCTGTAATTCAGATTAGCAATTCTTATCCTGAATATTTTAGTGCGTACAATGGGTTGAAGAAGCAAAACTAAATCAGCTAAGAAGAGAAGGAGTTCGTTATTCACGCTTTTTGGTAAATTCTGCATTCTAGTTCTCAACTACTGAATTTACTGTTCACTGACTTAGCATTCATATTTATGCGATATTAAGTGATAAGGATAAAACAGGTATTAAGGATGGATGAAAGCATTGTTTTCTGTGAAAGTTTGCAAATTATTTTGTGGTTTATTTGCATTACTGCAGATTAACTTTTCAGTTGCATGATAACGATGCTTACTTTCTGCCTCGGAAAATAATCCATCAGTTTCGAACTATAAGTGCTTGCGCTTCTATTGCCTGGCATGTACGTCTTAAGCAGTACTACAATGACAATGCGGAAATGGAAGCAGGTGAAAATGGAGAGATTGTAAAAGAAGAGACTGTGGAAGAGAATGAAAATGGAAATCCTCGAAAACGGAAGAAAGATGACAAGAGAAAGTGTGGAAAGTGCAAGGGGTAAGCTTTCGTTTTCAATTATTCGTAGGTTCCTTGTATATATTCAAGAAATTTGGTGTGACTTTTATTCTTTAACATTACTGAAATTCGCTGTTCCTTCAGAAAAGACCGCGCGAAAATAGCGAGACGTTCGGATGATTGTGGACCAAAATCTTCGAAATGATGGAAATTTTTATGAGTCGGCAGTTTAATGTCGGCAACATCTATTCAACACATTCCCTTGACAAATGGAGGTAGATAAGTTAATGGTTTTCTGAAAAACTACTGTTACTGCGGAAAGCATCCTTTGAAATCAAAATTTCCATTTTTAAGCTTAGGAAACAAATTTTTCTAGACAAAGTTTTCCTCCAAATATTTGTGCTGTTATGCGTAGTTACTGGCACTTTCCGCCCCTTGCCTCTTTCTGCCTTTCTGCCCTTTGCTTTTACTTCTTGCCCCTTGCCTCCATTAATTGCTCTATTAACTGTTAATATGGCCATCATCAGCCTTATTTGGCACTGTAGAACTAATTTCACATCTTTACGTGGTATATTACCTATAATTTGTCTGAAAATTTATGCGTTTTACCTGTTTTATTTGAATCTGATTAAAGTGTTATGATTTATGGCTGTTAGTATTTGTATATTTTATTATTTTCGCTTGTTTAATGTCATCAGCTTTCTGTTCCTTGCTTCTGTGTATTTAATGAATCTGATTCTGTGTATGACTGATCAGTTGTTGAAGATCAGTTGACATATATTTGAATATATTTAAAATATTACTAAGTTAGTTGAGATATTGTGCTAGAACTGTCACTATTTTGGCGAGCACGGAATCACCTTTTCATTATTTGTCTTATCGGGAGTTTTACATCCTTTAAAATTATGTTCATGGAGTTGATTGTCTTCGTCGTTTTGTTTCTTTCTTAGTTATATACTTCATCAGGAATGTAATCACATGAAATCTTCTGTATCATAGACATTCGTCTTTTTTCATTTCAGTAACCTGTTTGAAGTGAGTTTTTTTTTCAATGTCTGTTCATATCGAATCTCAGTTCACAGGAGTAGCGCATTTATAGTGTAATATATCTTTCTTTTATTCACCGTTAAACATGAACATTTTTTAAATAATCTATTTTGCGATAGTAACGGTTGTGCATATGTGCGATAGTATCTGAATGTCTTAAAATAGAGTCAAGGTCTTTGATTTGATGGCCTAGTCCTGAACCTTTCAGCGTTTGGGATACATTCTTGGAAGTTGGTAATAGGTGCAAATTGTAGTTAAATATAAGTGTGAGCAAAATTTGGTTTACCGTTTGTTTGGTATTCCAAGTCGTCAAGAAGTAATAAATTGCGGAAGTCGTTTACAAATTTCTAATGTGAACTGAGAGATTCACCGTGACTGATACGAAGATACCGAACTGCTTTTTGTAGTAGTAATTGAAGTGGTGGAGAGTAATTAGTAGGTTCAATTGCAAATACTTAATTGCTTATATTATTATGAATGTTCTTCTACAGACTGCTATATCCAGTTTGAAAATTCCAATCTTGATTCCATAACGAATGGGAATTCAAACTTCTAATAAAGACGAGATAATATATTTGTCAAGTTACTTTTCATTGAAAACTGCATGTCAAAATACGGTGAAATTGCGACTTTCAAGCTGGAGATCTTTGTTTTCATTATTCAGCTCTTTTCTTAAGACATACGATTTAAATAACATGGAATCTTGAAGGAATCGGTATCCGGGTAGCGAGTGTGGGACATGGAAAATGTGGAAACTAGTACTCACAAGCTTAAAGTTCTGAATTGAGTCTGAATTCAGACCACGGAGGTTCCGTTGGTGTGTTTCTTTTATGACCACTCGGTAAGAAGAAGACCAACGGAACTGTGCAACCAAACACAGAATCACGAAGCCGAGTGAAGTTATTTGACTTCATCCATATAAGATGTTATCTGAGTAATGCTCGGAGGGATCGGACTGATTCGTGCCTTTATGTTCTTTTCTGAGATAATTCGTTTCAAACCCACTGGATCCGATTGTTTCGCTCTTGTTGTGTAAGAAGCCACTACGAAAAAAACAAATCTGTAATAAGTCGGATATCTTTTTCCTTTACTTTAGAAAGCACTTATATTTCATCAGCATTTCGACAGCCTGGGTTATTTGAAACTTGATAGACTAAATGAAGCAATCATCACAATCCCTGGTAATTGCATTTATTTTACAGATTCCATTGAAGGGATTTGTATTACAACCTCCATCAAAAATTCCTCGTTAAGGTCTAAAACTTTCAGAAACTTCGAAGAACTCTACTGCTTAAAGCTTTTCTCAGTAATTTATATCGTTTATGTTAAACTGAATTTGGTTCCTAAGCACTGCGCAATCAATAAAGAAACATTCGAACCGGCAAGTTTTTCTCAATAATTTCCACTTTAAAAGACCTTGAATATAAGAGAAGTGAAGAGAAACAATCATTAATGAGAGCTGAAATGAGGAAACAATGTGGATGGGTTGTAATTATTGCCTAGATCTTTGATTCACTGAAAGAATCACATTTTTCTTTTCTCCTCTTTGTTCTCTTCCTCAGACTTCCGGAGTGACTCCAGATAATTGAGCTATCTGGAATTCCTCAATTATTGATTAATTATGAAATAAGAGGTGATCAAAGACGTTGATGTGATAGATTTATACGCACTTGATTGTAATGATTTTGTCATTCAGTTCAACATTGCAACTAGAAATTGTAGATTCAATAGTTTCTTCCCTATCTTAATTTGCAGAATTTCTGCTGTGGTCATTGCCCGCATTTCACGTTTAAAAACTGCAGATTATGATTTGAAGTGCTACAGAAATGCTAAGAACTCGCAAAACAGTGGAATACAACCATTACAGAAGTAGAAACCTTTTTTCAATGCCTAAAAACTTGCCAATTTTGTGTTAAGTGATTTTCAAACTTAAATGAAGGATGAAACATATCATTGAATACATAATTATCATCATTCTTTGCTTATTTACTATTTGAATGACCCCGGCTCAGTTAATTTTTCCTTGGATTTGTTAGAAATTTCCTTAATTCACTTGTACGAGTTTTGGTACAATAAGCTGGTAATCAGACTAGTCAACCACAACTGCGTAAGAAAACTCTAAAAAATACGTCAGCAATCTGAAAGTCAACAACTGCTCAACATCCTCAAATGATTTGGATTACCATTGTAACAATTCATCTTTTGGTTCCACTAATACAATTCAGCGATTTTTACCAATACACTCAGTAGTTTGGAGTTCTAGACAATTTTTTTGGAAACATTCAGAATCTTTTAATGCTGCTTTCAAGTGTCTATGTGACCAAACGGTCCAGTTGACGAACGTAAAATGTGACTTATGAGTCATCAATCACTCATCCAGCTTATATAGGTTCTTTTGAAATACGAAATTAGTTACTGTCTTGAACGTCTTTAAATTATCTAATATTTCGATTTCTGCACTTCTGTAACAAATAATGGTAAATTGTTGCAATGATTCACTTGCATGAAAGAACAACGTTATTATGTTAAGTAGATAATATATTAATGCATTGTTGACAAAAAATACAAATATATTATAGAAACATAGGTTAGGTTAGTAATGTAATGCTGATGGATGGGCAATGGACCGGTCCTAAACGCTGATGATTTGTATTTATAAACACGGTTTGTATTTATCACAATCTGCAAATGTGATACTTCTAACAGCCTAACTGAGCACACACATTTCAACTTTCTTTCATTAATTACACAATGTGCTTGTGTCTACTCAAAACTTCTTGTTGAAATTTCACCACTAACAATAGTGGTAATAATGGATGAATAAATTAAAATAAGGCATTCGAACCATCTCCTAAAGACCTAAAGGTGTTTGTAAGTAAATTTACTAGCTGAAATTTTGGTTAAACTCTTCATCTCTTCGTTGTTGCCAGAAGTTGAATAACTTAATTTATGTTTCGGAATATGAACCGGAAAAAAGATGCCCTCAACAAATAAAATGTCGGTTGTATTCGTTAAAACAATTTCATTCATTAAAAACAATCCCAAAATTTTCTGAAGTTTTTCAGACTTTTGGGGAACTTGTTTGCTCATTTATTTATATTGATCTTTTTTTTGAGGAGTTATTAAACTGAATTGGTAGATATAGTTGTGGATATAATCTGAATGCTGGTTATACCAGTGCACAAAGCTTTTGTAATTAGCGTTCATTGGAAAATTGATACATCCTACTAAAGGACATTTAGATATTCAGAAACATTTAGGACTTGTGCTTATTTACAAGTCAATCATCAACAGCACCATCATACCCTCCCCGTACATTACACTTCATTCTAAATTATTCTCTGTATCCTGGTTCCCGACAGCAAGACTAGAAACAAAATGGAGCCTTTATGGTAATTTAGGGGCCATCTGGACCATTTCATCAATTCAACCACATTAACTTCCCGTCCATTTCTTGTCACTTTTATTTATATACTGCTAACTTTGATGTTGCATCGGATTGAAATTTGCTCAAAAGACAGTGTTTCTCTGTTTTTCTTTTCAAAAAATACTTTTCAAAATTTCCAAATCGAAAAAATTTTTAATTCCTAGTTAATTTTACAATGACTGCATATTGCCATCAAAGAACGGATCGAAAGGTCATCACAAATATTAGACGCATTTTTCGAAAATAACCAAACACAGGACTTCAAGTTCAATTTTGAAAATTGGACGGTTTAGTTTGAAATTAGGATTCTCAGTTAGATGGTTTTAGAAAGTATAAAATTAAAGATTTTAAACTTGAATGCAAGTTAGAAAAAATAAGATATTTCATAGAATGTTATGAAAAACTTGGTTAGCTCCACTTTTTTTCCAAAAGTATTTCAAAAAAGTTCGAAAGATCCGTAGTACAATGTGCCAGTTCTCCTCCCAAATAATTGTTTATCAGCTTTGTAGGTGCTGTAAAAAAATTTCTAATAATTAATCATTATTTTACACTCTTCACGTTTGGTAAACTGCCACAATATGTTCTCACAATTTTTAACACAGCTTTTCTTTGAAATTAAATGAATGCCATGTGCATGTGCTCCAACGGTTCACTTTGAATTATGCTTTGAAATTATTATTGTTCTAAATATAATTTTCGAAAACACTGCAAAAACGTATTGCCAATCGTCCTCAGATAAAATGAGCCCGAATATCACCCGGGCTATTGACCAGACAGAAATGCAACGAAAATTTGTTGGTAATCGCCCGCTCAAAATAACTGTTTCAGGTTTCATCATCTCAAAGAATTTCCTATTCACTTTGTTAATTTCGGAAATTCACTACCTGATTTATAAAACATAAATGGTGTTTCTTGGATGCTGAATTTCTTATAGTTTTCGATTTGTCGCTTAATAGTTCAGAAGTTTCGTTTCATGAACTGATGTGCATTTTTCAATGGTGGAAAAAAATTAATTGCTCAAGAATAATATCTAAACCATTTCAGAATTTGAAGTGCTGATCTCCGAATGTTGTTGATTTTCCTATTTGTATTTGTTAATTCTGCAGCATCAGAAACGTTTGTTATATTTCTAAACTTTGAAATAATTGATTTTTTGAATAATGTTTTCGAAATGATTTTAATTTCTAGACATATAATATATAATAAACGTATATTACAGTAGCTATCATGAAGAACAACGTCTAGAACGTGTGCCGCATTTTTTGTCCGTCCCATCTAACAGTAGCTTCCGTGAAGGCTCAGCTGTTCGGCTTACTTGTGAAGCAACAGGTACGAAAAGCACAGTTTCTACTCTCTGACGATGAATTTTTATAACTTAGGAAAAGGCTTTTTTTGTAGAAAAATGCACAGCGAATTAGTTATGCTGAGCATTTTGGTACCACGTCTCACAGATTTTGATTCATCAGTATAATGTTCTGCTCAAAGTGGTTTTAAGCGGGAATGTGGCTTAAATTCTGGCGCTTATTTTTTCATAGTAATGGCAGTTGAGTATTCAAATGACAGAAAAGACACGATAGCATTAGCATATAAGCATTATTAAAGTTTCCGATAATAGAAATTACACTAAGGGTCCTACTATATATCAAAGACTGATTGCATAAGTAGCTCAGTTTATATTCCCGAGTTCTAAGGTTTCAATTGGTAACATTGTTGTCTACTTGGCGAATGAAACAAATCCTGCTGTTATAAGATGTGATGAACATAGAATCTGGTTAACATTGCGTCTCTTCATGAAAAACAGTGCTTCCTAAAACGCTCAGAAATGAATCTGTATCTATCGTATTGACCTTTGTAGATAAGATCATGCAGATATTCGTTATCGAATATAGATTTACTTCTAAATTGATGCACTTCTCAACAAGCATCGCGAATTTCTACTGCTATGAGATTCAATTGCAGCATGTAAAATTGAATTGCTAAATTATTTCCCATGTCCAACTATGTCAATTTTTCTATGTAAGAAGAATTTTAAGCTAAACCGAAACCAATAATGACTTGGCATTTCAAAGGCGAACAAATTCGTCCAACTTACAAGTATTCATTGAATTTGAACAGTTCTGTACTCAGCATCTATCCATTCCAGAAAAGCGATGTTGGGAAGTAAGTTTCTTCCATATTTAAGTTATAAATATTTCCCTTTAGTTTCACTTCTCTTTGCATAGATCTTAACTTTCCACCAAATAATTGACTAATTTAAGATGCTAAGCAAACAGAAGATGAGTAATTCTCATGTGCTTCTCAATGTTTCTCATATGCTTCTGTGTTTTTTCGGACTCGTGGAATTCGGAAAAAGGTTTATTAGGTTGAAGTATGTCATGTGCACTAAGTCAGCAATCTCGTGGGACAGTATAATCTGGTAAATGCCAAACAGGAATTTAACAAAGAAATTCATAATGTATGCGACGATTACAAGAGAACATCATCAATGATTAAAACCTGTTTATGAATATATTCATGATGAAAGCAGGATATAATCACAGTCAAAATGAAGAACTTCTGGAGAGAGTTGATAAGAACGGAGGGGAAGGAGGAAGCGAAGAGAGTAGTGGATAAGTAGTCAGGGTTTTTCGATAAAAGTCTTCAAACTCAGGAATTTTCGAAATATGACCATTTTTCTCGGAAATAATTGTTAAGCTCACTCACGGTTTTCTTATTAATTAAGTTGTCTTATTAATTAATTAAGTCGTAAGTAATACGACAATTTTTTTTATAGTGCTATTATCATTTTACTTAGTGCTGGTCTTGCTTAAGCTATATTTACTTTGAAACTGCTAATGCAAATCATTATTTAAGTGGTTCAGATACATTTGTGTAGCGAGCAATCAAAATGGTCAAGTTCAACACTCGTTCGAGTTACAAATCCTCAATAACTCAGCTCCACTTATAGTGGATAGACCGGAATCAAAAGTGGTTAATCCTGGCCAACAGGTCACCTTCGTTTGTCGGATTTCCGGACAGCCACCTCCATCCGTGAAATGGTACTTTAATGGTGTGGAAATATCGCATGACGATCTACATATTGAGGTTTTTAACTTCTTATTTTTTTTTTTAGATTACAAACTGCAAAATAATTCATATTCACTATTGTTTTAGAGGATTCGGTATTTATGCAATAATTACAAAAAAATTAGAAAAAAAATATGACGATTTTGATTGTTATAACAAAAGCTAATTTAAGCTAACTCAACGAGATAATGAGCTGACGATAATTCATGCTACGCGAGAAGATGAAGGTGTTTATCAATGTATTGCACGCAATGCTCTGGGAATGACAAGCGCTAATGCAACCCTTAAAGTTTACCTGCCAAATCAACATATTCTAGATGAATCCTTAACCAATGAAGTTCTCGAAAATATTGTCAAACAAGCTAAAGAAAATGTTAACAGGTTAAACTTCAGTGAAATTCTATCGAGTGGTTCAGTTTTAATTCAGTTGTTGCTCCAAATATTTAATCAGTAAAACTGATTAAATATTTGAGTTTTACTGATTAAATATTTGAGGATTAAGTGGATATGATTCTTATAACTATTCTTTTGGGAAAGATTCCAGTTCTAGAGCAATAAACCAGTCAAAATCATCAATTAACATTGGTGAAATGTCGCCATGGGAATTCATGAAAATGTTTAAATTCAACGTACCACAAGATGCTGCACTCACCAAAGCACGAGAAATCTATGAGCAAAGTTTATTACTTGTCCAACAGTATGTTCGTGACGGTAGGTTAATAGCCTTAAGTTTTAAGATTCATTTGTTTTGCAACTTTCTTAGTCCATTAAAATTTCGATCACTCAAAGATTCCCAGTTATTTAGGTTTAAAATTCCCAATTAACCAGTTGCCAATGAATTTTTCGTTCGAATCGATTCTGGCCGTATCGAATATCCAAACAATTATGGAACTTTCCGGATGCGTAACTGGACCATTTCGAAATCCGTGTACTGACATGTGTCTATACTCCAAATACAGGTTCCACAAAAAAAATTCAAAATTTCAGTGTTATTGAAAAACGTTTTAATGATCTCTTCAGACTCTAGACTGATATAATCTTTTATATTTACTTGAAGTTTTCTTTTTAAAATTAGTGGAAACATGTTTCTTCAATCTTGAAGGACATATGATGGACAATGCAACAACATGGAGCATCAGTTTTGGGGAGTTGCACAAACACCATTTCGCCGAAATTTACCACCTATATATGAAAATGGTTTCAATACGCCAGTTGGATGGAATCCTGAAAAACTTTATTTTGGATTCAGGAAACCAAATCCTCGACTTGTTTCTATGAAGATTATCTCAACCGAAGAAATAACTCCGCATTTTGGTTATACTGCCATGATGAAACAATGGGGACAATTTCTGGGTACTTATAATAAATCACTTAACGTTAGGACTTATCTAGTCAGTTACTTCGAAATTCAACGGCATATTTCTTCATTTTACAGCACATGACATCGAGCAAACAGCGCCTGGCCTGGCACGCCAAACATATATGAAAGGAGCAATATGTAATAAAACTTGCGAAAACTTGGATCCATGTTACAATGTCCCGATGCCTCCAGAGGACCCTCGTATGCAGGGCGAGTGAGTTTTTTTTCAATTAAGGGATTAAGAGTTGGCATGTACTTCCAGTACAGTAGTTTGTTTAGAATAATATTGCAAAAATTGATGAAGATTTATGAAATGAATCTGATAAAAACATACTTCTTAATTTTAATGTATTCATTTTTCAAGTTCAGGAAAAAGCCCGAAATCTCATGTATTGAGATGGAGCGATCCAGTGCAACTTGTGGTTCCGGTCAAACTGGTCCGATTTACCGACAGCTTACCTATCGTGAACAAATGAACATCGTGAGTCCGCTATTGTTTACAATTCGATGTAGAAAAAGCACGATTAGAAATATGCAAAATTATCCATGTAAAAAATGTCCGTTATTTTTCCAATTATATAAAGTGTCTCAGATGAATACAGTTTTGCTTGCTATAAGCAGACTTTTCAAAATTGCTTTGTAACGACTTATTTCTTTAAAAATTCGATAATTTAAACATATGTTTCAAATTCTTCTTTTCAAGTTAACTGCATTTATCGATGGGTCTGGTATCTACGGTAGTGCAGAAGTGGATGCCCTAAATTTACGTGATTTATTCGGTGACCATGGCCTGCTGAGATTTGACATTGTATCAGAAACTCAGAAGCCATATTTACCGTTTGAACGCGAGTCGTCCATGGAATGTCGTCGTAATCGTTCCCATGAAAATCCGATCAGCTGTTTTTTAGCCGGTGATTATCGAGCCAATGAACAGGTTGGTGCTATATGTAGAAAGGACAAATTTGACAAACGTTTATAGTAACTTATGGAAATTTTAATCACAGAAATGATAATATGTTTGATAAGTTCGTGTTTCAGAATGTTTAATTTTCTCGTTTCTTGTCGTCTGGAAGCTTGAAACTCGAAAAGAAAAAAAATTTAGGATGAAGAAGGGTTGCAGAGTAGCATATGTTATAGGTTTATTGCTAGATCACACTTCTGCCGAATTCGGAAATCTACGTTTTCCGCCGAAGTTCGCAAACTCAGTTCTTTAGTAATCATATTTTAGACTCAGCTTTTACAAATTAAACTTATTGAATAGCTTTCTCTAATACTAATATAATCAGGGTTGCATTTTTTCTTTCTCAAATTATGTTGTATGTGTGATAATTATAGCTAGCACTGCTTAGCATGCATACATTATGGCTTCGAGAACACAATCGTATTGCGACGATATTTCTGGAAATAAATCCGCACTGGGATGGTGAGACCATATATCAAGAAACGAGAAAGCTGATCGGAGCTATGTTACAAGTAATTACCTACGAACACTGGTTGCCTAAAGTGCTTGGACCGGTACGATTTTAACTTTTCGAGAAAACTACACTAAATTCAGGAAAAAATCTGAAGCAAAGTCTTCAAAACAGTTATCTTAGGATGGATACGCAGAACTTATTGGGCCATATAAAGGATATGATCCAGAAGTGAACCCTACTTTAGCTAATAGCTTCTCGGCTGCTGCTTTGCGATTTGGACATACAATTGTCAATCCAATTTTATATCGCTTGGACAAAAATTTTGAACCAATCAAAGAAGGTATTTCAATAGAAAAAGTTTGAATTTTAGTCTTCGCTGACTGCATCTAACATGTTTCCAGGGACTTTAGGAAGTTTAATTGATATTTTGTATATCGTTTGTTGAACCATTGACAATGTCTGCAGGTCATATACCATTACACGAGGCTTTCTTCGCTCCTGAACGATTACTATCAGAAGGCGGAATTGATCCTTTGTTGCGGGGATTGTTCGCAATGCCTATGAAGACTCCAAAGGAACAACAATTGGTCAATAAGGAATTGACGCATAAATTATTTAGCCGTGTCGAAGAAGTATGTTGTAGATCGGTAATTTATGAAATATCATTGTTTGATACAAATATGGTTTAGAATTGTTTCAGCAAAGTAATGGAATCAGAATGCCTGCTCGAATTGACGAAGATGTAAATTCAATATAAAAAGATTTAATATGTTGGTAAATTTTTATATTTCAAATTTAATATAAATTGCGAAAGCTTGTCTGAAATCGACACCAACATATTATATTTCAGTCTATGTACGACCTGGCAACAATCAACATCCAACGCGGCCGTGATCACGGATTGCCCGGGTTTGTCCAATCGCTAATAATTTTGTCGGACATGAGCTGCAGGCTGATTGAATGATGAAGACGGAGAAGTTTTGCCAGATTCACAAAAGACTTCTACAATTTAATTTCCAAAATCTACACGTTTTCAAAAGTGTGCTTTCCAAAGAGAGTTGGCTAGTTGTCATCTTCTTATCTCCAGAAATCGGACTGATATGATACCCTCTGGTAATATTAAGTCAGTTCATTACAATCCATTTCGGAAATCTATCATGCCTGTTAGACCTGACCCCTTATAAAGTGAAAAAAAATAATTTAGAAGATACTTTAAGGTATGTCGCATTCCGGCGCTGGTGTAACTTCAGCGTTCCAGAGACATGGGATGATTTAGCAGATGATGTACCGAATAACAATACACGAGCTAAGCTTAAAGAACTCTACGGACACCCTGGTTAATTTCCGCTCTGAAATTCAAAACCAGTACTCGCAATTTTTAATTCTCTAATTTCTATTCTTTACTGATAACAGAACTGTATATTCGAGTATTCTTCGTTTCACACTTTGCTTAGAAGGAAAATTAATGATTCACTGAAGCACGGATCGAATGACTCATTAAATAAAATCTTTTCACATTTTCTTATTCCATGATACCCTTGCGCAGTGCGAAATGTTCTCATTTTGAGGCAATATTGACTTGTGGGTGGGCTTAATTTTGGAACGACGGTTGGCTGGAGCTTTAGTTGGACCAACAATCGGATGCATCCTTGGAGACCAGTTCAGGCGCTTACGTACGGGAGATCGGTTTTGGTTTGTTTCATTTAAAAAATTAAACCTGGGAAATATGATATCCAGAATGACTTTTTTGAAGATTTAAATAATCCCGGGAAACTCATTGTTAATTACAGGTATGAAAACGAAGGTGTTTTCACACCTTTACAACTTCAGCAAATTCGGAAAACGACACTAGCGGCTGTGCTATGTAACAGTGGTGATCACATTCATCGCGTACAGGTATTTCTTAGCAGCTTTATGGAAAATTTTTGAAGAATATCCTTTCACAAAAGCTACGGTTGTTTTTAGAGGGACGTGTTCGAGTACAGAGGGGACCGGTCCATTAAATTTTACGAAGATTGTGAGCTGGTGCCTCAAATTAATTTAAATGTTTGGCAGTCATGTTGTGACAAGGGTTGTGCTTCATACAGTGCAGAGGAGAGTATAATCCAAAGCAGGTAAGCTATGTCTTATACTGACCCTTTCTAAGGAAAAGGAATGGATCCTTATATTAAAATAAGAGTTTTCGTTCAAGACGTCATGAAACCTTCAGGAAACGAAGAGCTCATAAAACACATGGAAAACATATGTGTAACGTAGATGATGGGATGAAAAGAGATGGCGACGTCTGGAAACCGGATCAGTGTACAACATGTGAATGCAAGGCTTGTTATTCGTGGATTTATCTTTTGAAAATTTGTCATTTTACCGGAAGATTTTTGAAGTTTTGTTCAGAATATGATCTAACGTTATTCCAGGTTGGTCAAATATGGTGTTCCGTTGAAAAATATTGCAGAAAATTATCGACATAAAATGGTATAAAGTCTTCTGAAACTTCCGTATTTATTACTTCCCTCACGCATTGTTCTTTTACTTATCACAATTTGAAAAATTTCACATAACTATAAGAATTTGCAGAGGAGTCCCTTTGCCGACGAACATTTATATTTCGCGATTATGCAAAAATAACTTTGGATAAACTATGACTTGTGTATGAAAGGGGCACGTGGATATATATATATATATATATATATATATATATATATATATATATATATATATATATATATATATACTACTACTACTACTAACTACTAAC